AAATTATTTGTTTACATTTATTGATTAACTTCACCTTGAATACCAACACATAGCTAGCTATCTACAGTAGCCTAGGGTTGTTCTCTTCCACTTCTTATTCTAATCCACTTCTTATGACTGGTGCAGCTGCAGCTGTGTTGTTGCCAAGCAACCAAGTTGCTTGACCCGGTTTCAGAACTCAGCGGTCACTTTATGAACGCTATAGTCTCGTTTTAATTCGACATCTAAAATTTGAGCTAGGTACTTTGACAACTAAATTGCTAACGACCCTGTAAAAAAATGGTATGTGGTGTGGGAAATTATTCTCTTATATTTTAGATGTGCTGTTAGCTTAATAAGAAAGCATTAATGATTAAACATAAAAGGTTTGTACTGTACTGATATACATTGTTTAACCTAACAAGCTGTGATTAATGTGAGGAGCTGTTAGGGAGTAGGGTGTGATAAGGCTTGTGACTCACACTGCCTCTTTGTTGAACCGTCCAAGGACGTAGGTACAAAGAGTATAGTTAGGGTGGGAAAGTACAGGGAAACTGTGTCTATGGGTGCTGACTCTCTGGACAAGTTGCAAAACAACTAAACACCTGGCAACAGTGAAGCGCCAAGGGGCTGGGACCAGCCTGTGCGCCAACGATAGGCTGAGTAAGTCTAAACCACGCTCAGTCTCTACTGTGATAGGCCAGCAGGGAGCAGGAACTATCTCTGTCAGTGTATTTAAAGAAGAACTTAAAACGATGGCTCAGTTCTCTGTCTGCCCTGTGTGGTATTTCAGTGGACCCGTATATACGAACATCATATTTACCATTGAAGTGTTTTGCATTAATTAAAATACTAGTCTATTTTAGAAGACGTGTATTGACCTCGTTTTGTTCCCAATACCAGATTTGAATTGACGCAACTTATCAATTGGTGACCTCCGACTGTGATCTGGTAAAGGGACTTCGCTGGATATCGTCCGGGCCATAGGACATCTCTGTTATTTGACGGTGTGGTTCACAAAGAGTCCGGACTACTAAAAACAGGTAAAACGACAGCTATTGTTATATAACTGAAGTTCTGCACATTGGCTTTATCCAAATTAATTTTGTGAAACACCTGTTTGAACTAAATTATGAATTATTATGAGTAAATAATAAATATTGTCGCTATTGTGATATGCAAATGTATGGTAAATGTGAGTGTTAAACCCTGGTACCATAGAGTATTGTTCTACCGGCAAGGTCCGTAACTGCGAGAGTACGGCTAGGTTCGAAGATATAGGGAATTATTGGTCTAAAAGTGTTGTGCTACTGGCAAGGATCGTATCTATGAGGGTACGGCTAGGATCAGAGGGACACTTACAATTTTAGATAGTGTTGCGCTATCGGCAAGGTCCGTAACTAGTACGGCTAGGATCGTAGGAGCACTTTAAAGTACACTATAGTGTTGCGCTTCGGCAGGGAGTTGTACTTGGGGGTACACACAGATCGGAGGAGCACTTTAAAGTATAGGGTGTCGTATGAATGAGGGTGCGAATGATCCCAGTGTAATAAAATAGTAAATGTGGGTTATTAAAATTAATAAACCTGTATACCTTGACAGAAAACGAATTAGGAGTTAAAGAAGTCTGTAGCTGCTTAAACCGTATAACCCGTTAATAATAATTGGGAACATAAAGGTAAAATAATGAATAACTAGTATGACTAAACTGAAATGTTTGAACTGATATCATTGAACTGTAACGTTTGATGTTTGACATAGCATAATACTGGTTTTAAATAATTATGTTGAAGCAATTTGGTTTATTATTTGATTTAACGTTTGATATTTGGCATAGCATAATACTGGTTTTAAATAATTTAATTGAAGTAATATGGTTTATCGTTTGATTTGACATAACAACCATTTGTTAAATAATTGAAATACTTTGGTTTATTCGTTTTGATTTACCATTTGATGTGTGGCGTTTGATTTGACATAACAACCATTGGTTAAATAATTGAAATACTTTGGTTTATTCGTTTTGATTTACCATTTGATGTGTGGCACTGTAAGAATACTGGTTTCAAATAATTAGGCTGAAATAATCTGGCACCGAGTTTAACTAATTAGGTGGGAATCATGTGATTTAAATACATAGATAGACGTACTTTAAATAATTAAATAACGGACGAATATTACAAATTAAAACGATAAACATGACTACCAGTGGAGAAGCGGAAAGAATATTGAAGGCTCTAAAATCCGCACTTGTAACAAACGGAGGAAAAGATGGAAAGGAATGGAGCAGGCGAGGAGAGAAACTCTATAAGGAATGTATAGACGATGGTTGTATACTGTCCCCCGATGGAGTGCCTGTAGGAGGCGAACCAGGGAGAATACTGGAGACGTTGAAGCGGAAAACCCAGAAAGCAGAAGGTGAATGGAAGAATGAAGGAGAGCCCCGCAGAGGCAAGATCAAAGACGCAATGGAGAAAGCAAAGCTAAAGGAGCAGATTGGCCAAGCAATGCTTGGAAAATTGAAGAAACTGTGGGAGGAGAAAACAGGACAGAAGGAACGGACCCGTTTATACCCACCCCTACCAACAGCGCCACCACCATATAACGACCACCCAAAAACAATGGCTCCGATTCTGGACATAGCGGGAAAAGTCCACTATCAACAAAGGACAGATGAGGAGGAAGAAGGAATGTGGGTCAGAAAGAGCGATATGACTGACAGAAGGGGAGAAGTGGACGTACTTCTAAAAGCTGCAAAAGCGCTAGAAAAAGGAGTGTTTGAACTGAGTAGAATCGAGGGAGAGACGGGGAGCAGATGCGGAACAGAAGGAGGAGGAAGTGTTGATGGAGACGGTGAGAGTGAGAAGGAAGAGAGAATGAGCCTAACTGGAGGAAACGTAAGGGGTGGTCTAGCCCAGGGGGAGTGGCAACGAAACAAGGATGCTGAAGAAGAGGAAAGGAGGGAGAGACTTGGGAGACAGAGAGATGAAGAACGACTGGAAAAGTTGAAGATGATAAAAGAGGAAGTACGGCACCAGGAAGCACAAATGCACAAGTTAAAGATGGAGCTCGAAGCGAACAAAAACAGAAGTGAAAGTGAACGCTCACTTGTAAGGGGACACTGTATTGACCTCAGAGACGGGGAAGAGAGTGAGGAGGAAAGAGTGAAACAACAAAAACTCATATGTGGAGTTTTTGATGGAGACATATGGGACAACAATGATGGACCCGCGTACCACACCCAAACCAGGGCCCAGACCAGAGAAGGACACAAAGGGGGGAAGTACCCGTTGAGGGAGACCCCAGGGGGGGCCTCAGTTTACAAGCCATGGGCCCACAGAGACATACAGACCCTGGTGGACAGTCTCCCCCAACCTGAAGAATCTGGACACAGATGGGTGAAGGCTTTTGAGAGTCTCACCGCAGCGGATGAACTCACCATAGGTGAAATGGTTGCTGTAATTAACAGGTGTATGGGTGACCAGGAATGCAAAGAGATAATGACCTCTGGGGGACTGAGAGGACAAGTGGGGTCGGCTACAACATTTGACCCCCAGCGCAGTGACGTATGGGACGCCATTAGGAGGAAGAGTCCTACCCAGGCCAGACCCGAACTGATGAGAACTCTGACATTGAATGATGATGAAACCATACCAGCATACATGAAGAGGGCTAAGTGCCTCTGGAGGCAAGCGTGGAATGAAGAACCAGGAAAAGACACCATGAAGCACCTCTCCTGACAAACTGCCTGGGGGGACTCCCGGATCAGGCTCAAGTTGAATGTGAAAAAGTTGTGGCAATCAACGCAAAATCGATCCCGGAATTTACCGAGATAGCACAACACCATGTGGAACGATGGAGAGAGGGTAAGCGAAAGGAAGAGGATGAACTCAAACAACTTCAGAAGAAGGTTCTGAAGAAGCAACTGGCAGAGGACAAGCCAGGAAAACAAATGGTGGTAACCAGTACCCTAACATCTAATCCTACCACTCCTGCACCCGGAAATGATACTGCTGCTGCAGTCACTGCTGTAGGACAGGCAATGACGGGAATGATGGCACCTTCTGGTCCTCCTGGATATGGTGCACCTGCATACCGACAACCCTATGTGCAACCACAACAGCAGGGGTACACCCCTAGATACGCTGACCAAGGGTGTTTTAACTGTGGGGTGTATGGCCACCTGGCAAAATACTGTAAGCTCCCAAGACAGGGACAGCAAAGAGGGAGGGGATACATGGGACAGTCAAGAGGACAAGCATCGAGATACCAACGAGGGCGGGGAAGCTGGCAAGGAGGAGGAATGCCAGTCCAGCAACACCAACCGCAACCACAACAACAGGACCAAAGACATGACACATCAGTGCCTAACGCTGCCCTCCTGCCCAGCATGTCATGGCTGGGTGACGAACACAATTACCAATGAAGCTGCCCAGAAATCCATAAGGACCTTACCACCAACATCTACACCTTCCCACCAGGTTCGGAGCCAGTAGTGACATGTTTGATTGGAGGAAGAAAACATAATATGCTGATTGATACAGGATGCACATGGTCTTCTGTACAAGCAACATATCAACTCACTACCAAAACACAAGCTTTCTCTGGGGTTTCTGGGGCTATTATGAGAAAGCCATACACAGTTCCATTGGAGGTTGTATGGGATGACCTACAGGTTACCCATCAGTTTCTATACAACCCTGAATGCTCGGTGGGACTCATGGGGAGGGACCTGCTTTCCAAACTGGGATGTAGTATCTATTGTAACCAGGAGGGCCTGCACGCATCCATCACGCCCATTGATGAACTCATGCCAGTAATCATGGAAAAACTCTCCGACCCCCCTCGCATGCTATATGTGGGTACACACCTAAACGAGGAAGATGAGGAGGAAGCATATGTTTACTGGCTGAAGCTCATGGCTACTGACCCTGATGCTCCCCGAGTATGCAGAGAGTTCCAACTATGGAAGGCCTGTATACAGACCATACTATTCACTTGAGGACCCTCCGCACATGACAATGAACTATACAAGGGACTTGGATGAAGCATATGATGAAGCCTGGGAGGAGGAAATGGACGATAGGCGCCCGATTGTGACCAGCAATCATATGTACATACTCAAAGAAGGGGTGGCTACCAGCTGCATGGTCATGGATGGAGACGTGGTGCTCACAGACAAATGGTTTGCTCTTCCTAGTGATTCTATTCCGCATGTTACCCTTTTCGTGGGATTTGGATACGAGGCAAGATCTCTGGGACCTGCAGTAAAGGCAGCAAGTTGCCTACGGTGGAACAAAACCTATTGTTACAATGGTGGTTCCACTGGGGAAGCTGCTTTTATCCAACTCAAGCAGACGCTAGCCCAGGCTGAAGCACTTTCCTTACCTGATTACACCACGCCATTCTGTTTGGATGTTTCTGAGCAGGACGGGTATGTGCATTCCATCCTTTATCAGAAACAAAAGGGGGAGAGGAGAGTGTTGCACTATTACAGCGCGAAATTGGACAACATTGAGACAGGACAAACTGACTGTGCCAGACATATGGCTGCAATCGCTAAAGCTGTAGGAAAGACAGCTCACATTGTGATGAGGCACCCACTGGAAATCAACACAGATCATGGGGTGACCGCCTTTATAGGCTCAAAACTATTCACCCTCTCCAGCAAAAGAAAATCCAGCATAACAAAGGCCATTACAGCACGACACATTACATATGCAACAACAGCCACCAACATGACGGACGGTATGGGCCTTGGAGAACCACATGTCTGTGAGGATAGAGCAGCCAAACAAATCAAAGTCTGAATGGACCTGCAAAACTCACCCTTAGAAGGGAACAAGACCACCCTGTTTACGGATGGATGCTGCTACAGGTCAAAAGACCCAAAGGAAGGAAACATTGCTGCCTACGCTGTAGTGAAACAGGACACAGACGGAGGACATGAGGTATTGGAAGCGGAAAAGTTGGGTCCCAATGAAGCCTCAGCACAACTAGCAGAACTTAGGGCACTGAGGAGAGCACTCCAACTGAGCAAGGGAAAGGAGGTGGACATCTACACGGACTCTGCCTATGCACATGGGATTGCACACATTGATGGATCACAATGGTGAGAAGAGGGTTCTTAACCAGCTCGAATGAGCCCATCAAACATAAGGTTGAGGTACAGATGCTTATTGGAGCAATCCAGTGGCCGAAATGGGTGTCAATGATGAAGTGTAAAGGAAACAGCAAAGAGAGCACGAAGGTACGTGAGGGAAATGATCGAGCTGACCAAGCAGCTAAGGAGGCAGGAGGATATACTGCTCAACAGATGATACAGAGAGCAACTCAAGGCCAAGAGGATCTAACAGAAGACACAGTAAGACAGCTACAAGAAGCAGCGGATGTTTACGAACAGAACGTGTGGAGCAGGCAGGGAGCAAGGAGGGACCACCAAGGAATCTGGAGGTCTCATACAGGAAAAACAGTGGGACCTGCGAAACTTCTCAGGTCAATCATAAGGGAAGAACACGAGAAGGCACATGGAGGATGGAAAAGCGTATCAAAGGTGGTTGAAAGAGCATGGTGGCATCCACACATGTTGGACATGGCAAGAGAGACATCAGAAAGCTGTGAAGTATGCAAACAGTATAACAACAAAGTGTCACTCGGAGCAGTGATAGGCAGCTTCCCAATACCTGATGCGCCATTTCAAGACATTTGCATAGATTTCACGGACATGGGACAGGACAACAGAGTGGAAGGAAAAAGATACCTGTTGGTAATGGTTGACAGATTCACCAGATGAGTGGAAGCCATCCCCACAGCAAGGGAAGACGCAAAGGCTGTGATTAAATGGCTGAGGAGGGACCTCATCCCAAGGTTCGGGATCCCGCGAATGGTCCGTTCCGACAACGGTACCCATTTCAAGAATGAACACCTGAGGGAGGTAGAGCAGGCCCTAGGAATCACTCACAAGTTCGGGTCAGTGTACCACCCCCAATCGCAGGGACTTGTAGAAAGAGCTAACCAAACGCTGAAACGAAAAATGGCCAAAATCATGGCCGGAACTAAGCTGAAATGGGTAGATGCGCTGCCCCTAGCTCTAATGTCAATGAGAAACTCACCTGGGTCTGACACCCATTTAAGGCCGCATGAACTCATGACAGGGCGTAGAATACCAGGACCACCAGCAGACAATCTTAGCATGCCTAGACTAGACATTGCAAAAATCAGATACACAGACTACATGCAGGCGTTAACCTCTCTTGTTGAAAGACTGTCCAAACAGGTGGTGGAGGTTCGCACTGTCGAGACCACAGACGAGAACAGAGACATCATGTGGGAGATTGGGTGAGAGTAAAGGTGCATTCCAGGAAGTGGACGGAACCAAGGTGGGAAGGACCGTTCCAGTTGAAGGAGGTATCAAGTCACTCACTAAGGGTGAATACAAGTAAAAAGGACGTGTGGTATCATAGAACACACTGTGCAAAAGACACGGTACCAGGGAGGACTCTAGACCAGGTACAGCAGGACCTAGCCACAGGGGGAGAATGAGAGTGCTGTGGGTAGTATTGGGACATACATTGTGGGGGGTCATAGCTCAAGGAGCAGGGAACATAGTCATTACGCTGGAAGAAGGGGAGTCTCAAGTGGTAACCCTAGAACCGTGTAAAATATGGTCCTGGAGAAATAGAGCAAGTGGAATTGGTGAGATTATCTGTCCTTGGGACCCAAAAGGGGGATGTAATGTGTTGGTGCCCTATGCAAAACAACGTGGTACATACCTGTGTGAAGGGAAATGGTGTCCATATTGGGATTACATGGTCACTAATGTAGGAACCTTTTGGGAGTGGCGGAGAAGCTACCCATATGCATTAAGTGATGTGTCTAAAGCAGCCAGGTTTTCAATGATACGGGGTGTGCAGGGATCAGCAAGCAGCGTGTGTAAAGGCGATGAAATCCTACTAACCATACAGGATATTAAGCTTACAGATGCAGGTGTTTACATTACATTACATTTACATTTTAGTCATTTAGCAGACGCTCTTATCCAGAGCGACTTACAGGAGCAATTAGGGTTAAGTGCCTTGCTCAAGGGCACATTTACGTCATTTAGCAGACGCTCTTATCCAGAGCGACTCACAAATTGGTGCATTCACCCTATAGCCAGTGGGATAACCACTTTACAATTTTTTTGGGGGGGGGGAGGGGGTAGAAGGATTACTTTATCCTATCCCAGGTATTCCTTAAAGAGGTGGGGTTTCAAATGTCTCCGGAAGGTGGTGAGTGACTCCGCTGTCCTGGCGTCGTGAGGGAGCTTGTTCCACCATTGGGGTGCCAGAGCAGCGAACAGTTTTGACTGGTCTGAGCGGGAGCTATGCTTCCGCAGAGGAAGGGGAGCCAGCAGGCCAGAGGTGGATGAACGCAATGCCCTCGTTTGGGTGTAGGAACTGATCAGAGCCCGAAGGTACAGAGGTGCCGTTCCCCTCACTGCTCCATAGGCAAGCACCATGGTCTTGTAACGGATGCGAGCTTCAACTGGAAGCCAGTGGAGTGTGCGGAGGAGGGGGGTGACGTGAGAGAACTTGGGAAGGTTGAACACCAGACGGGCTGCGGCATTCTGGATGAGTTGTAGGGGTTTAATGGCACAGGCAGGGAGGCCAGCCAACAGCGAGTTGCAGTAATCCAGACGGGAGATGACAAGTGCCTGGATTAGGACCTGTGCCGCTTCCTGTGTAAGGCAGGGTCGTACTCTCCGAATGTTGTAGAGCATGAACCTGCAGGAGCGGGTCACCACCTTGATGTTAGCGGAAAACGACAGGGTGTTGTCCAGGGTCACGCCAAGGCTCTTCGCACTCTGGGAGGAGGACACAACGGAGTTGTCAACCGTGATGGCGAGATCATGGAACGGGCAGTCCTTCCCCGGGAGGAAGAGCAGCTCCGTCTTGCCAGGGTTCAGCTTGAGGTGGTGATCCGTCATCCATACTGATATGTCTGCCAGACATGCAGAGATGCGATTCGCCACCTGGTTATCAGAAGGGGGAAAGGAGAAGATTAGTTGTGTATCGTCAGCGTAGCAATGATAGGAGAGGCCATGTGAGGATATGACAGAGCCAAGTGACTTGGTGTATAGGGAGAAAAGGAGAGGGCCTAGAACTGAGCCCTGGGGGACACCAGTGGTGAGAGCACGTGGTGCGGAGACAGCTTCTCGCCACGCCACTTGGTAGGAGCGACCGGTCAGGTAGGACGCAATCCAGGAGTGAGCCGCGCCGGAGATGCCCAGCTCGGAGAGGGTGGAGAGGAGGATCTGATGGTTCACAGTATCAAAGGCAGCAGACAGGTCTAGAAGGACAAGAGCAGAGGAGAGAGAGTTAGCTTTAGCAGTGCGGAGAGCCTCCGTGACACAGAGAAGAGCAGTCTCAGTTGAATGACCAGTCCTGAAACCTGACTGGTTTGGATCAAGAAGGTCATTCTGAGAGAGATAGCAAGAGAGTTGGCTAAAGACGGCACGCTCAATAGTTTTGGAAAGAAAAGAAAGAAGGGATACTGGTCTGTAGTTGTTGACATCAGTGGGATCGAGTGTTGGTTTTTTGAGAAGGGGAGCAACTCTCGCTCTCTTGAAGACGGAAGGGACATGGCCAGCGGTCAAGGATGAGTTGATCAGCGAGGTGAGGTAGGGGAGAAGGTCACCGGAGATGGTCTGGAGAAGAGAGGAGGGGATGGGGTCAAGCGGGCAGGTTGTTGGGCGGCCTGCAGTCACAAGTCGCAGGATTTTATCTGGAGAGAGAGGGGAGAAAGAAGTCAAAGCATAGGGTAGGGCAGTGTGAGTAGGACCAGCAGTGTCATTAGACTTAACAAACGAGGATCGGATGTCGTCAACCTTCTTTTCAAAGTGGTTGACGAAGTCATCCACAGAGAGAGAGGAGGGGGGGGGGGGGGGGGGGGGGGGGGGGGGGGAGGATTCAGCATGGAGGAAAATGTGGCAAAGAGCTTCCTAGGGTTAGAGGCAGATGCTTGGAATTTAGAGTGGTAGAAAGTGGCCTTAGCAGCAGAAACAGATGAAGAAAATGTAGAGAGGAGGGAGTGAAAAGATGCCAGGTCGGCAGGGAGTTTAGTTTTCTTCCATTTCCGCTCCGCTGCCCGGAGCTCTGTTCTGTGAGCTCGCAATGAGTCATCAAGCCACGGAGCTGGAGGGGAGGACCGAGCCGGCCGGGAGGATAGGGGACACAGAGAGTCAAAGGATGCAGAAAGGGAGGAGAGGAGGGTTGAGGAGGCAGAATCAGGAGATTGGAGGGAGAAGGATTGAGCAGAGGGAAGAGATGATAGGATGGAAGAGGAGAGAGTAGTGGGAGAGAGAGAGTGAAGGTTGCGGCGGCGCATTACCATCTGTGTAGGGGCAGAGTGAGTAGTGTTGGAGGAGAGCGAGAGAGAAAAGGAAACAAAGTAGTGGTCGGAGACATGGAGGGGAGTTGCAGTGAGATTAGTAGAAGAGCAGCATCTAGTAAAGATGAGGTCAAGCGTATTGCCTGCCTTGTGAGTAGGGGGGGACGGTGAGAGGGTGAGGTCAAAAGAGGAGAGGAGTGGAAAGAAGGAGGCAGAGAGAAATGAGTCAAATGTGGACATATGGAGGTTGAAATCCCCCAAAACTGTGAGGGGTGAGCCATCCTCAGGAAAGGAACTTATCAAGGCGTCAAGCTCATTGATGAACTCTCCAAGGGAACCTGGAGGGCGATAGATGACAAGGATATTAAGCTTAAATGGGCTAGTGACTGTGACAGCATGGAATTCAAATGAGGAGATAGACAGGTGGGTTAGGGGAAAA